TTTCTGTGGTAATTTTAGTTTTTAATTTTAGCATTTTTTTATTTTATTTTAGTATTTAATTTTAAAGCAACTTCGTTATGTGCTTTTGTCATTTTATTTTTATTATTATTTTTTAAATATTGCTATTTAGGGGTAATTTAGATCAATATTAAATTAAAATATATTAAATTATTTATATATAATTTAACTATATTTCAGTTTAAGTTTAGTTAAAGTTTTTATTTCTTTCCAGGTAATAACTATAAACTTATTTCAGTCTATTGCAAGGCAACATTTATAATTTTTTTTTTTTCAAATAACTATTTTAGACCCATTTTATTTAACCCAATTTCAGCTTTCTTTCAATTAACTTGCTTAAAATTAAAATGCCTTTAAGAGGTTTAGCTATGAATGATTTAGGCTAATGCGGGTCCGGGACACCATTAGGCCGGGAGTCGCACACTGAGACAAGCCACCCCATTAAAAAAAAAAAGAGTATGATTTGCTACATATTTATATCTTCTTTTCCTGACTATAGCTATAGCCATAGATAAAGTGGCAGTAGCGCCACCAAGATAAACCATACAAAAAATTCTCAGTTCTGCCCTTCTAAACTTGACCCTCTAATTACCACATCTTACCTCTAACACCTCCAAACCACATACCTCTGATTTGCACAAAAACGACTGTTCAGGAGAAAACATACTGGCATTTTAGTGGATTTCTCTTCAGCCTGCGTAACCTCTTGCTTGATGAGCAGATGTTTCGATTTTTCTGCAGTTCCAGTAATTCGGAAGGAATGGAACATGAGTTTCTATGAAATTCTTGTACAAGTGGTTACTGCTACAATGTCTACCAAATTCCATCTGGCTGTTTACCCTTTATGGTCTCCTTTAAGGCAGTGTAGGCGATTTGTTCCAGAAAAATATTTTGTTATGCTGGCTGAAAGTCTCCTCACAACCTGATAGCAATCCCTACGTTAAGTGGTCTAAATGTATTTATATAACATCTGTGGAAAGCGTAGGACCAAAAAATGTTCATCCAGTCATTGCATTCGGTCCGAATGTTATATGTCATTTTGTTTATTGTAACCGTTCATGTGTTTTGAAGAAGGCGTGGCTTTCGAGAGTCCAATGAAAGGGAGGGTGGGATCTTATGCTTTAAAGTTAGCTCGCTATTAGGGGTGTCAAAATTAATCGTTTCTACGATGCATCGCGATGCAGACAAGGACTATTCGGAATCGGTTCAGTAACCGATTAATGATGCTTTTCTGATGTCATTTGTCACGTGTGTGTTTTGTTGCGGTAGCCTACAACGGCAGAGTGAGGCAAGACATGAGTGCGAGTACTGAAAAATGCTCCAACTAGCCTACTTTAAAAGCCTACATCTGGGCACCTTTCGCCTTTTATGAACAACCTGGTAAGCATGACCTGGAGAAGACACATGCTGTGTGCGCTCATGTCACGCACAAATAGAATATGCAGGAGGCAATACCACTAACTTGATAAACCACGTTAGCCGCTTTCACCCCGAGCTGTTATATATGTATATATAGCTGTTATATAATTATGTATATAATATTATATATATATATTTCAGAGCTATTCAAAATGCACTCAATACTGTTGTTAACGTGGACCCTATTCATTCTGCAAGATAATCATGTACAAACAAACCTGGCTCTGAAATACCAAGAGCTGTGAAGCTAAGGTTGCATTTATTCTCTCTGTTGTGGAGTATTGCCCTCTGAGGAAATGGAGTTACTGAGGCTGCTGTTCTATATGCAAAATGCCCACGGCTATTGCCCCTGATGACCCTGAGTGTTTGAAGCTGAAGGACAGCATGGAGACTGGGTTTAATCATGTGGGCACCATGCCCACTGGAGTGTGCACTCACATACATGCACACACACAAACTGGCACAGGTGTGGACATAACTGTGCACAAGCACATAAACACACAGAGTGAGGTTATGATTTAACAAACATATGGAGTGCTAAAAACAAGCTACAACATACACAATCATACAAATGCAGATATACTTTAAATAAATAAAAAACATGCTGACTGGTACACCACATTCTTTAAAGTATATATATATATATATATGATCCTCTAACTCAAATTACTTTGAAATCATTGCATTTTTTGTCCACCTCCCTTGTGAAAACTCCCTTTTAGGAAAAAGAGTTGAATACAACGCACTTTCCGAGTTCATATTTCAGTGTATAAAGAACTTAGTTCACAACTTCATTGTATTTAAGTGCAATTCACATGGTTAAGAAGCATCAAGTATTTTTTTAGTACACGTAAAAAAGTAATTCATTGTTATTAACTGTAATTTAATTACTTTTCCCTTGAAAAAAGTAAAGTGAGGGATTACTCTTATTTTTTCAGTAATGTAATTACAGTTACTAATGCATTTAATACTGTATGGACTATAGAACAACTCTATAAAAAAAACAACAGTCGATTTAACATCCAAATTTAATGTCTAATGTTAAAAAAATTTATGTTTTTAATGCAACCTCCACCCTTTAAATACTAAGGTATTAAGTACAGAAATCTACTAGCTTATAAGTAATGTATTTTTTTAGAGTAGCTTACCCAATACAGGAAATAATGTTCAGGGGAATATTTTCTTAAAAGGACTCTAAAAAAAATACAATTTTAAATGTTATTTCTGACACACTACAGAAAAAAAAAGTACAATAAAAATTAAACGTAGGCCTAAACATAAAATTGACAAATAACCACTGTAAAAATGATTAAAATTAATAAATTATTAAACTTTAAAATTATTTTCATAATTTATCACAACTTTTTATCTTCTGTAAAGTCAACTTAGATAATGAATGTGGTTCAGGTGAGTTTCTACTTATTAAACCAATCTCCATCAAAGCATTAATTAAATTTTAAATAAAAAACCAGGTACCTTAAATTTAACCAACAAAAAAAAATAATAATAATAAAATACCGTGCACTTTAAAAATGTGTGTATATATGTAATGGAAGTCTATAGTATTCTCTCAGTATAAAGTAGGTCACGTTTTAAGTACTTTTTAATTCGTCAATTACAAATGCACTTTTTTCCACAAGGGCAATAATGCCTCTACGAGCAGTGATCACATGGAGACCAACAGATCAGACAACAGAGCCTTGCACTGGAACGCTATAGTTAATGTCTACATGATTTATTCAACCTCAGTTTAATCTGCATGTAAAGTTTATTCACATTTTTCATTCACTATTTATTTTGTGTCTCTCTTTCTCGCTGTATAAAGACGTCAGCCACAGGGGGCGTATGGATCTCATGATCTCTGGCAGACTCTCAGAGCTAGCTTCTCATCTGGGCCCGTTTAGAATTATAGTTTTATTTGAGTAAAGAAAACACCTCCAGTAATTAACAAGAGACCTCTGTTCCAATCCTCACATCTGTCGCTGCCATAAACACAGATCTCAGTGCACACAACACGTAGCATACTCTACTCAACTATTTATTTGCCTTTCAGCTTGTATTAGAAATATCCCAGGATCCTCACAATATCTGTGACTACTGCATGCATGGATAATTTTAGGTAGCAATGTCACTTAAAAACACATGGCCTGGGACAATAATTTAGGCTACACCATTAAGGAGCTTAATGTGACCACCTCATTATTGGTTCACATCCACATTCCTGGTTGCATGTCCTTATTTTACAAAGTTAGACGCGTTCTTGGGTCATCAACATTCCAGTCCGAAAATATTGTCCTAACCATATCCCTACCCCTACCCATAATTTACCCCTAAAATCAGAGTGAAATGATTGGTGAATAACACTGATGTAGAAGCACCTAACCCTAGTTCTAAGTCTAAACTTGAAATAAAATGTGAACTTGTCTATCAAATCTGATTGAAATGTTGTTCCAGGATCAACAAAGATGTTGATTCAGGAACATGTTGCACTTGATGAAATCCTTAAATCCTTAATGTCACCCTTGGTATTCGGATACATGAAGTAAACAACTTGAGAGGACCTGAAACGTAAAAAAACTACAAATATATGTACGCAGCATTTTCACGCTGATTGAATATAGGCCTTTTTTATTAAAGGAGAACTCCGGCGAACAATGAACCTTTGGTCTAATAAAACATCGGTACATAGTCAACCGTTCTCTGAGATTTGTTTTCATGATAATCGATTGTAAAGAGATTTATCTCTAAAAACTGTTTAGCGTATAATGCTAGTACTGGGGGCATTGACTAAGTAAAAGAAATCGCTAGTTTATACCACTAATAAGGCTCAAAATAGCCCCACACTAACGCAGTAACATAATGAGGCTCCATACATGCAAAACGAAGCATTGAGAACTTTGTAAGTGTACAGACCGTTTAATAAGAAGATACTTTATGAAGACAGTTCACTTCGCGTATACAGACAGGAGCCATCTTAAAAAATAGTCTCGATAAGTCGATCCCCGAACGACGTGCTGAGTGATCTGAGCTGTATGAAGTTCAGCGAACTTCTGAACTGTATGAACCGCTTTCGGGGATCGACTTATCGAGACTATTTTTTAAGATGGCTCCTGTCTGTATACACGAAGTGAACTGTCTTCATAAAGTATCTTCTTATTAAACGGTCTGTACACTTACAAAGTTCCCAATGCTTCGTTTTGCATGTATGGAGCCTCATTATGTTACTGTGTTAGTGTGGGGCTATTTTGAGCCTTGTTAGTGGTATAAACTGGCGATTTCTTTTACTTAGTCAATGCCCCCATTACTAGCATTATACGCTAAACAGTTTTTAGAGATAAAACTCTTTACATACGATTATCAAGAAAACAAATCTCAGAGAACGATTGACTAGGCACCGATGTTTTATTAGACCAAAGGTTCATTGTTCGCCGGAGTTCTCCTTTAACGTTTCTTTTCAATGTTTGCAATTTTTAATCGAACAGATTAGCTACATGAAGGGATTGTGTAAATAAACTGGGCATACTGGACATCACACACAAATGAAGGCCAATGTGGCCACTTACCAGGCCGTCGCAGTTACTGATGGCTACTGAGGCTCCCTGTATGTCCGTAATGTCACCCACATACAAGCAGTCACTCTTCAAAGGCTCGGAGTGCATGCCGCCAGATTCCGGCCACTCCATCTTGGCTCCGGGAGCCACCAGGCGTGTGTTGCGGCGCAGACGCAGGTGAAACTCCCGGCCGAAGACGGTGACGTTGTAGTAGAGCTGCTTGAGCGCGTCTCCTCGAGACTCATGGTTGGCGTGGTTGGCCGATGCCGCCTCTCTTCTCCAGCGCCTACGGAACTGCCCTTCTGCTGGACCAAACGATACCGCATGGGACAGGAAGCGGCCTTCTGCATCAGTAAGAACGGGCTTCACCAGTCCATAGTCCCCCAGAACATGCTGCAGGGAATCTGCATTACACACAAAGACAGTCAAGTCAGACAGCACGCACTGGCTGTAGTGGATCTATAACGAATGTCACTATGCCACGGAACTTTCATGATATGATTTGCAGAAACAATGCTTTTTCTCACAATTTAGATGTGTTTATGTTGACACTTTAAATGCACATTCTTTCCCATGCAGTGAGTGGGTCAGACGGGTCCGGGTGAAGAAACACATTAACACTTGTTTGACACCATTATTATCATATTTAACAATGCCTGTTTGTGCACAGACTGTAATTGTATATCTGCCTCCCATCAAAAAAAAAATACCAAGATAAAGGAAATGTATAATTGCAATATGCCATATTGTTTTCAATGATGCTTGATAGACATATTTGTAATAGAGAAATATATCAAGAAGAAACACAACAAAAAAGACCACTCATCCTAAATGAGTGTCACAAAACCTATTGAGCACCCTACAAAGACAGCTTGTGTCAGCTCAATTCACATTCAGCTCAGCTGATTCCAAACAAGCCTATGAAACCCAAATAAGCTGTGTGTGCCTATGATGCCCAAAAATGTTCCATGCACCTAACATGCCCATAAATGTGGCATGCACCTTTAATGCCCAAAAATGCTCCACTCAACTATAATCCTCGAAATAAAAGTGCCATATGCATCGAAAACAGTCAATAATATTTAATGCACCTGATACCACAAGCACATTTGATACACAATAAGACTTATGCACCTGATGCACATTAATGTTGTACACACAAAATGATGCTCGAACCTATTATACCTAAAAAATGATGCTAAGAAATGCTTCACTTAAATATGATGTTCAAAATATGTTGCACACACCTGTGATACCCAATACGCAACTGATGCAAAAAAAAAAATGCTGCACACACCTATGATACCCAAAAGTGCATCATGCACCTATAACACCAGTAATATTGTATTCACCTCATACACAAAAATGCTGTCTGGCAGGCAACTCACTAGGTTTTGAGACACAGCCGATATGTCAGTTCAAAGTGATGCTGATCTCATAATGTGCATCTCTGTGGAGACCACTTCCTCTAGCACATTTATTACATTTTTATTGACCGATAACCATTTGAAGTTAGCAAAACCAAAAGTTGCTGTATGAACACATTCGTCTTTTTCTTCCAAACCGAAAAGTTCCATTATAAAGCTTTGGGTTTGTTTTTTTTTGTTTTACGTTTATATGTGCAAAACGCACGTTTTGTTTAAACGCTCTCAAAGGAGGAGAACAGAACTGTTATCGCCAGAGCGTGTGTCAAAAATCGCAAACGCGAGAAGAAGAAAAAAAAACAACCAAAACATTTCCACTACACCGCCAGAGCTGCGCTGAGAATTCATTTCAGCAGCATGTGAAACAAACACACAACAAACAGTAATGATGCAGCACACAGGAATGCCGCGTCTGTTTATATTTCCTAAAGCTCCAGAGAATAATTAACAAGATTCGAAATAGCCTATGCCACAAGTTTCTAACACGCGGGGATGGAGACAGTGCGCAAACATCCAGGTCTGGTGCGCACTGGGGTGGTACCGGGCAGGACATCTTGCGATGGGATAGAACTGGAAGTGTAAATAGGTAAAGGCAGCCGCACGTACCTATGCTACTGGAGATATAAAGGCCGTTCGTCTGCAGAAAGATCGGCAGTGTGATTAGGATAGTAAATCCGGCCGCGAAATCCATGGCAGCTCCGAACTGCGCAGGTGAGGCAGACGGACTTTGGGATCCAGCGTGTTAAAGTTCCCTGCGCGACCAGCAACCGCCACGCCAGCAACAGCCGCCCGCAACTTACTGCAAAGTGCACTAGGAGAGAGCGCGTGCCCCTCTCCACCCCTCTCTCTCTCTCTCTCTCTCTCTCTCTCTCTCTCTCTCCTCACACACCATCTCCCTCCTCCTCGACTCTTACTAGGTTTCTCTGTCAACACCTGAATGCGCGCACGAGTGCGAAGCGACAGACGGATGCGGAATTATTTCAGACAGCGCAGTAACATAAATATTGATATCTCACATCATTCTACACGTAAATCAAATGTTAAGGACTTCAAACCTAACGTGTGCTGAAATGCTGCTTGTGTGAGGTTGTGTTCTTCATGACCTGCTCAAACTTTTCGCCGCGCCTCATCACATTCAAGCACAGCATCATCAGCTAGAGCAATAGCGCCCCCTTCTTCTTCCCACTTCTTCAACAACAGTCAGGTAAAGTATACAGGCTTCCACTTGATCAACACCAAACCAGAAAAATACCAAAAATATGTGAACAAAAATGTACCACAGCAGCAGTTGATTATTTATTATTTCACAAATTATCCCAAGAGTTGTCATGACTGAAATACATTATACTTTCAGAGTACCTTTAAAAAAAAATATATATATATATATATATATTAGGGCTGTGCAAAAATTAATTGCGATTAATCGCATCCAAAATAAAAGTCTGTGTTTACATAATATATTTGTGTGTGCTGTATATAATTATTTTGTATATATATAAATACACATACATGCATGTATATATTTAAGAAAATGTGTTATTCATATATAAAATATTTATATTTATATTATATAGATTATGTATTTATAAATATATACAGAATTTAAGCGCAAATAATTCTTAAATATATACATGCATGCATAGGTATTTATATATACAAAATAATTATATACAGCACACACAAATATATTATGTAAACACAGACTTTTATTTTGGATGCGATTAATCGCAATTAACTTTTGCACAGCCCTAATATATATATGTATATATAAAGACCTACTTGATATAGGCCTAATGAAATATCTGAGCATCGAAAATTATCATAAATTAATAAATGTAGAAGAGAATTTAGAGTAATTTCAGTAAGAATTCTTACAGTAAATGTTTGTGTTTGTATCAGGAATAGAATTGTTTTGAAAAGGCAGGTGAGCAGATAGCCTTTCTGAGATGAGGACAGCGAATGTCCTTGGTAGGGTCAAACACATGGCATCCATTCGTTTGCATGCATTAACATACCTAATGAGTGATGGGACGGATTTTAATTTTGCTCTTGAAAGGTTAGACTCCTGAGCATCAGGTTTAAAGAGTGTCAGAATTAATCTGACATACTCATTAAAAAGCTGCCAGACCCTATGAAAGCATGATACAGTATTGATGAAAGTGCTTGGAAACATCCATATTTGCAGTGAAATATATACTGTATATTTACCTATAACTTCACCTTGGGCAACATGCACATCCACAAAGCAATTGGATCAAATGAGGGTTACAGCATTCATTATATTAGTCTAATGCAACTACACTACACGTTTGGAATAAAACGATTATTTGTTGCTATTATTATGTAAACTACTTGTCATATTAGCTCGATTAAAAGCAAACAGCCTCCACATTACCATTGGTGTCATCTAAAAAAATATAACAACAAGCAGATATGTGTAAGAGTTATGTCCGAAGGCCAAATTAGAAACAATATTTTCTGACCCTGAGCAAAGTTACTCCTCTCACGCTTACTGCTAACACAAATAGTGAAACATGTCTTGGGAACCTGAAACAATTTCTTGTCACTATTGTCTCATTTCAGTCAAGAATTAGAAAAAAAAAATGCAAAGGCAACTAATTCTAAAGGCCTTGCTGATGTGAAAACCCTGTTCATTCCACAGATATACAGAGAGGTCAGAGCACAGTGTAATTATCAAACACATTTTGGCAGAGAAATTCCCTTAATACTGCACATTTTTATCAAGCCCTGTTGGGAAAAGTACAAACAGAGATTTTCTTGTGTGTGCATGTATGTGCACGTGCGTTTGTGTGTAGACCTGGTTAACCTTAACTTGTGAGGTCAAAATGTTCCCAGGTCAAAGATTTCTGACATTTGTCCCCACAACGTATGGTTTACCAGGACCATGCACCACACATTTTTTGGCCCTCATGTGGCCCTCAGCTTATAAATCATAATAAATAGTTTTCTGGAAAAAAAAATAATATTAATAAAATAAAAAATGCAGAACGTTGTCTGTGAGGGTTGTGTTTGGGGTTAGAGTTAGGGAATAGAATATTCAGTCTGTATAGTATAAAAATGTATTGTCTATTGAAAGTCCCCATGAAACATGGAAAGCCAACATGTGTGTGTGTGTGTGTGTTCAATTTGTGGCACGGGATGTGGGGGAATTCTATCGGTGTGTATCATGTTTCCCCATAAAGAGACGTCTGATGGTTTGATGGTCAATACATTTGATCTTTCCCTTCTCACCTTTCCTCCTTTTTTACTCTCGGTCATTTAAACATCACAAAAAAAAAAAAATCTCTTATATAAACCCCACTCTTAATGGTTATTTGAAATTGCGAATGATCCACTTCTTTGTCTAATTTTTACACAAAATACAAGAGTACCAAATAAGCACTTAGAACTTTTTGTGAATCTGCGCACATATATTGTCAATTATTGCATTAAATAGGAAATGAAATGAAATGAAATCAAAAGGAAGCTGATCATTTCTGCAATCTGCAAGAGCAAAGACATAGAAAATTCTTAGCAGGAGAAAAATAATGCATTTCTTTATCTTATCATATACCATGCATACAAATAACCATAGCACATACAAGTAAATCAGTAATATCTCTAAATCAGAACATTCAGGAATGCCAGAGTTAAGCCATGTACATTCAAAAAGTTTCTAAACTAACTGTTAAGGATATTTTAGCTTGCCAAGACAGAGTTAGGACAATGTTTTGAACACTGCATTGAGATATAGTGGATCTTAAAGAGATCCATCAGGACAATAATGAGTCGTTGACTATAACTAGTGCTGTCTCAGTACTATGATTAGGTATAAATCCTGTCTGAAAGAAGCCACCTTTGTCGTTCCTGTAGAATAGGTGCAGTTGCTGAGCAACAACCTTCTACAATACCTTGGAGATAAAAAAAAAAAAAGTTAGATGATATGATATGCAAGATGATATGCAAGATTTTGTCTCTAAATTATGGTTTAGTCTTTAAGGATTCCACTCCAGCCAGATAACAATCAGTCTTTAATAATACCTTTGTTAAGAAGACTGAGTAGACAAGTAGACAAACATGAACAGCAATTAGTCCATTTCAATACATTTGGTAATTGGAATAAAGGGGAAGAGAAATCTAAAAGGTCAATGGTTTTATGACATTTTTGTTGTTTTGAAAATTACAATTCTTTATATAAATGAATTTCATGAATGCAATTTGGTTAAATCTTTTCATTTTATTTTTGTTTTGTTCAAGGAAAAAATGTGCTCTAAGCCAAGATCTGAGTTAGATCAAGATTACAAACCTTCTGTATAAAATTGAGCCATGTTCAGTGTGTTATAGGATGAAGTAGGTTTCAAATGATCTCATCTGCTGATCTTAAAAACGTCAAGTGCATCATGATAACAGAGGATGGGGTGCAACATGCATCAATTGTAATATAGAGGTAACCTGTTTTTACACAGAGAGACACCTATCCAACGTGCAGTGCTGGAGGAACTCAGGGCTTGTCAGGGAAGCTCATGGCGAAAGTGGAATGGCGACGAGCAAGACACCTGAGCGGGTCCTAGTACTGGCTGGTTGAAGTAAGTACACAAGAGGACACACGATCCACTCAGAGATTGTAGAATCTGGTCAATGTGTTGGGTCTCGCCCAGCCTGCAGATCTCCAGATGCTTGTTAACAAGGCGTCATGTGCTAGAGGCCAAACGGAAGGCAAGTGCACTGGACAGAGCATTGCCAAGGCTGGGTCTGCCTCCTCCAGGGGCAACCCTTGCAGGTTCACCACCCGGTCCCGAAAGGGAGTGGTGGGAACCTTGAGCACATATCCAGGCCGAGGTCTCAGGATCACGTGAGAGTAGGCCAGCCCGAACTCCAGGCACACTTCGTCAAAAGAAAATGCAGGTCCCCTGCCCTCTTGATGGAGGCCAGTGCAACCAGGAGCGCTGTCTTCATAGACACAAAGTTAAGCTCCACTGATTGCAAAGGCTCAAAGGGAGGACTCTGCAGGGCAGTTAGAACCACTGAGAGATCCCAAGAGGGAATGAGAGGAGGAACCTGATGGAACACTCCTCTCAGGAACCTGATGATAAGGTTGTGCTTGAATGCCGTTTACACCAACACCGGAGAGTCGCTCGTCTCGTAGCAGACAGTTGATCAGAAATGGCTTGTGGATTGAAGCATCCTCCTTTTATACCCACGAAATTCAGCAGACCCATGGCATTTCTTTGCCATTGGCTTGTTTTGTATACTCGAAGTTGATAGGTTTTCTAAGCGAAACCCCATTCGTCGTCAAGACAGAACTCGTGACGGCGAAAGGGAACCAGCTGTTAATAATAACCTTTTAAAAATAGTAAACGTATAGCATCTGTTCTATCTTTATACATGTCTTGGTTAATCCAAGAACAATCCTGGAGTAAATGCACATTGCACACCTCATGCCATTTATGAACATTTCAATAACAGTTACATTTCTGCAACACAGGGACGATCCTGACTGCTGCATCCTTGTGAAGGAGCAGCATTAGACTTTAATTAGTGAGCTCACCATTCCTTAGAATAGCACAGAGTCAAGCTGAGCTGAAGACCCTGACTGCATCTCCTGGCTTTGAACAACACCGAAAATGATCTCATCTTGTTTAGTCAAAATAATAGGCTTTCAGCACAAACCATCTCACATCTTAGGTGAGAGTGTATAAATACGGGTCATTAACGAAAAGTAAAACTCAGTTGTTGGAAGTGAGGTCAAATCTACGATGAGATTAAATTTGTAATTAAAATGTCTGTGGTGTATTGGGAATTTGAAGTGTTTAGATTATCAAAAAATGCAGAGTTTTCTGTGATGTGTAGGT